TATTAATTTTTGGAAAAGCATATGATGATTACAATGAAAATGTGCGAAAACTGACAAATCAGCAAAGAATTCATAGCCGAGATTAGGAGAGAAACTAAGTTATAAAAGAGATTGATAAAACTTTATTTAAAAGAACAAACACTTTTTGATAGACATTATTTACGGAGGGATATTACTGTTCAACTTTTGAAAATTCAAAATATAGGAATAGGATATGAAATTTTTTATTGAGATTAAAACTGTTGTTAATATGCACCATTTCATAAAAATCCTGTTGGAATAACTGCTTCCAATATCAAGAACTTTAAAGGCTAGGATAACATTCTATAAAAGTGATAAGAAACTCACTAGATGTGGACTTTCGTAACATATCACTGAGACTGGCCTTAAGGTTAACTGGAATTCAGGCAAATTTCTTGATATTGAGAGTAGTTATTCAAGAAAAAAATAAAGTTTTCAATTCTACCCGAAAAAGTTTTAGCATTAGATTGCTCATTTTGCGATGAGTTAAGACCAGCTATCTATAGGAAGATTAGCTTTTTAGATACTTGAAGTTTTGTAATACCAATCCATGCCATATTTATATATTCATTTATTTATTTACAGTTTACAAGCCAGTTAGTAGTGGAAAGTATCCAAAAACTGTAAATGCAACTTGGAAATTACAAAAAAATTGCACCCACATAGATATGTGGTATTTTTAAAATAAGTAAGATTTGGTAATGCCAATGTATGGAATATAGCGTCTATAAGAAAAAATAAAGTTGATGATTGAGGATAACAAACGAAACGTCATATTGAAATTTTGATTATGTCACCTTGTAGAGGAGAAGACGTGGCAGTATTAATGTACTTTTTTATTTTAAAATATTAATTTTGAATAGTTAGGAAAAAATAAAAACAATTCTGAAGAAATTGGGTATCTCTTGTCTATCTCCGGAAATATTATAAATTGCGAGAGTTTCCAAGTGTAATTTTCTTGGTTACCTAATGCGTAATTTTGCCTCTCTTTAACCGACTCTCTTACCATTTCTGTGATCTGAATAGTGAGAGTCGAATTTGGAACACCCAGTTATATAATAATGGAAAAATATATATAATAATGAAATACACACTATCTGAGCCAACGTCCGTACGTTGTGTAATATTCACACAACTCGTACGCCCTGGTATCATTACAACGTCGCGCGCCGTCGACGACCCCGCTGGGGCATCGCTGATGTTGCTGAATTTGGATCGGACTCTCCTCAGGTGAAGAATGCCGGTATTGTTGGTAGAGTCACAGGCGTTAATGTTATGCGAAATATGTATGATATTGGTCTAACAGGTGGGTAATACTAACAAATTTATGAGTAATAAAACGTGTTTCAATGATACCAAATATGCAACATTTACAACTTCCAGCCTCCTACAATGCACAATCCCCAATTTACCACCTCTACAAATCTTTGTCTGAAAATAATCAGAAGTCCGATAAGTGCATTCGCTGGGTGCGCGATAATAGCGCTTCCTAGCGGATGCCGATGAGGAATATTTGTGCTTGATGCGTGCAATAGAAAAGTAAATAGATTTTAATGAAAATAATAGACAGATTATGGCAGCGAAATAGTTGCATCTTTATCAAGTCTCAGTTTACCCCACGTGACACAGATTTCACCATATAGGACACACCTATATTCCACTATCAGTACGATGACGTTCCTTTTTTGTCCTGTTCCTGTGCTATTATGTATAAGACCATTTGGTTGTTTTAAGAAATATAATGCCTATCATTCAAATCTAATTTACTCTCCGTCAGTACAAACTTCAAAGCGCAATATTTAAGTTCTTGCGCTCTTAAGCTGCAAACCATAAATGCCTGCGCGAGGAAGCGACATGTGAAATGAAGTAGGGACCGTTCATATTTATTTTGATGCATAGTAAATGAGATTTGAATATACAGGGTGGTCCATAAGTCCTTTGAAATTTCAAATTTGAATAAAATTTAACGGGTGAGCGTAAGCGGCGCGGGCGAGGTGGGGGCAGTATCTTCAGTGTCTGGGAATTGAGTCGTCATGGAGTGTTTCACTGGAGCGGATCGTGCTTTTTGTGTGCGCGCGTTTTATCAAAATAATGATTCGGCAACCATTGCGCGGCGTAAATATCGAGAATACCACAATTTACACAAATTTACAAAGTGTCGAACAGCTCAAACGATTAAGAACTGGGTTGCTAAGTTCGAAGAGACTGGTTCGACGTTAGATAAACAGCGGTGGGGTCGACCAAGGACAACTCGTATTGAAGAAAACATCAACATTGTGGCACAGTCTGTTCGTCAGAATCCTACCCAGTCTACTCGTAAGCGTTCCAGAGCACTAAACGTACCCAGAACATCTTTACAGCGGATTTTAAGGAAAGATTTACGTCTGCACGCTTACAAAATTCAGTTAGTGCAGGAATTAAAAGATAATGACGCTATTCAGAGACTAAACTTTGCGAATGAAATGTTGAATCGATTTTCTTTGCTCAATAATGTGTTGTTCTCGAACGAGGCTCACTTCCATTTAAACGGGCATGTAAATAAACAAAATTGCCGTTATTGGAGCCCCGAAAATCCAAGGCGTAAGCATCAGAAGCCCTTACACAGCCCTAAAGTTACAGTTTGGGCTGCTATGTCAGCGCATGGCATCGTAGGCCCTTATTTTTTGAGGACGACAGAGGTCGCGCATTAACTGTTACTTCGGAGCGGTATGTAGCAATGATAGAAGAGTTTTTGACACCAGCGTTGCAGAATTTTCCAGGCTATAATACGCAGACCTGGTTTCAACAGGACGGAGCAACTGCCCACACCTCCAACACTTCTATGCCCGTCGTCTGTCAACTTTTTCCCAGCAAAGTAATTTCTCGAAGAGGAGACATTTCCTGGCCACCACGTAGTCCAGATTTGACCCCAATGGACTTCTTTTTATGGGGCTACCTCAAGAGTAAAGTGTACGACACCACTCCGCGATCAGTTGATGTCCTGAAAGAAAATATCCGAAGAGAAATGGCAAGCATTACAGTATTGACTTGCCGCGCAGTCATCGACAATTTTAGACGTCGTTTATATGAGTGCCGTGATCGTAATGGATTGCATTTAGACGATGCGATTTTTAAAACATAATTCCCATTCAATAAAGATGATAACAAAATATAATAATTCTTCATAATGTAACTAGTTTGGTTTTATTCCTTTTTTTCCAGCTCAAAGGACTTATGGGCCACCCTGTATAATGAATTCGTAACTGTCAGATTTCTCTGCAGAAACTATGCGTAAACAACAAGGATCAGTATTATCTTAATATAGCACCTGTATTACTGTTTCACTTTTATATCCCATCTGAAAATGATGGTGGGGCTTTTAAAAATATCTTCCATTTCCGTATTGCGGCTGACAAATCATTTTGGAGCAATTAAAATCGCACATTTTTCGCGACGGAAAAAGGAACGAGATATCAGTATTCACAATTAACAGCTTCGGCCTCTCCTGCTTCGAACAATAAAGCGATTTATTACATTTTTAATTTTCCCTAAAACACTTTGCTTTGTTTTTCTGAGGAGAATGACAAAAAAAGCTGGGGGTGAAAGCTGCTATTTGTAAATACGGTAAATGAAATACAGTGGTGTACCCTGGAGATTACAGACTTGGATATTTGCGGCATCAGATAGGCTTCTTCAAAATAATTAGTGATGTACAGTCAAATTGTGTCGAAATATTCAAATAATGATACATTTTTGGACTACTGAGGTATTCTTGACGACCAGCTGAACTCAACCAGGGCAGGTAAGGACTCTTGCACTAGTGGCTGTCACCGGTTAAGCGTCACAGAATTAGTGACTTGTGGCTGTCATCTCTGGCCTCTGCATCTTATGCCGGCAGTACACGCTCGCCGAGGCTATCCGAGATGAGACGAGCGAGAGAGTGTACTTACTATTCCCGCCTCGCTCTAGACCCTCTCGCCTCGCCCTCGGAGCGCTCGGTGTAGAAGCGGTCTCCCAGTGCGAGTCAAAGGAACCGAGAGCGTAAGTGGGAGGTCTCGCGAGCGTGGACATGGTATATTCGGGCGACCTCGGCACACGCTGGTCTCTTGTTGAACAGTGGAATTTGTGGCGTGATTAGTTTTCGTTTGCGGCTATATTGGTTGACATTGTTTATTTTTAAAATGGAGTGGACAAATGATTTTACTATCAAGTTTTTGGAATTTTATCAGAGCGAACCTTGTTTGTGGGATCCCTCTGACGAAAATCATAAAAGAAAGGAGAAATTAGCTGACGCCTGTAATCGAATCTCTGAATCTACAGGCAAATCTGTGGCAGAATTAAAGAAGAAAAAAGATTCTTTAATGGCCACTTTCCGGGGTCACTTAAGAAGGAAAAAGGCGTCCATTAGGAGCGGTGCTGGGGGCGATGATATTTACAAGCCTATATGGTTTGCATACAGCTTTATGGAAACTTTTCTGTCAAATATATGACTGCCACCCTACCATAAACAGTCAAGACACGGTAAGTACATTCAATAAAATAACTGTTACTTATTACTTGTCATGCAATATTTTATTTGTTTCTTAAATTCACAAAATATTCAGTGAAATTATCTCTAATCTTAGTCGCACTAATCGGTGATCGACGAGCAATATGTGGTACACATCGAATAGCACAGTTTTGAGGTACTTCTTGCCTCCAAGCCCCTTCAATAAAAACGCCGTTATCATATTTATCAAGAGTGCCCGACGGGTTATAAATGTTTTTTGAACTAGAACTTTTCATAAGAAAATTGTGTAGAAGTACACATGTCATTGTTAACTGCGTCACTTTTTCGGGCATCAATTCGATTGGCTTTTTGAAAAATCGGAATCTGGAAGTTAATATTCCAAAAGTATTTTCAGACAATACACGAGACCTTGACAATGTTTCATTGAAAATACGTTTGGGAGTATTCAATTTATGATCGCCAGGATATGGCTTCATTAAGTTCTCGCTTAATGCAAAAGCACCATCTCCCAAGAAAACATATGGTAAATCGACGTTTAATCCGGGTAAGTGGCAAGGTGGAGGAAAATTCATCTTATTTTCACAAATATTTTTCCATAACACACTATTTCTAATTATGCCGCCATCACTGATTCTTCCTTGGCTTCCAATGTCACAAAATATAAATCGATATTTACTGTCTACTACAGCTAGAAGAACAATACTAAAGGTTCTTTTGTAATTGTAATATTCTGATCCAGTGTGATCAGGACATTTGATTACAACATGTTTTCCGTCGATTGCTCCAATGGCGTGGGGAAAATTATCTCTAAATCCTTTTTCAATTTCTATCCACTCATCTGTAGTTGATGGCATCTGCAAAAAGATAAGAAATTACATTTATTGTTAATATTGTTAATATGTAATAAAATGTATTTATTTTTCAGATTTCTCTTGATAACGAAACCCTCGAGCCCACATCTCAAGAATCAAAATCAGAATTCAATGAAGTAGTGAATGTTGTACCCTCAGCTAAGTCTCAGCAAGCAGCACTTGTAGCCAAACCTCACCGACCAACACCCTTACCAATCTCTCAGCAAAGATATCGTCGTCGCCAAGTTCCTACGGAATTGCTTCAAGCAGAAAGTGAAATGAAGGAAGCCTTCTCATGGGTGAAGAATGTTGTGTCCAGAAATGATGAAAAAGAAGACGAGTGCGATTTATACGGTAGAATGTTGGCGAAAAAACTACGAAAAATTCCGGAATTTCAAAGAGAATACTTGATGCATGATATTAACGAAATGGTCCTCAGGGCAATGCATCCAGCTCATGGTTCTGTCGCCACGCCATCCTGTTCCAATGGACCACCTTCGAACTCATCGCTAATTTCCTTATCGTATTCTCGACCTACATCTGCAAACAGCAATAACTGTTCCTATGCTTCATCACAGGGTATCAACGAGCATGCCCAGGACCAGATGGAAGAACACATACAGAAATCTGATACCTATCAGCCAAGCACTGTATATGACCTTTGGAGGAAAAACAGACACCAACTCGAAAACTACTCATTTCAACATGTAGACGTAAACATTTTATAATAAAACTGTAGCTCTATAAATGCGAATGAATCTATTTACCTTAATTTCATCTTTCAAAGCCTCATTCAGTGCTGCACAGACCTCCGGAACAATCCGCGATATTATTTCACTTGAAACTTTAAATAAATAATGTAGGCTCTTGAAACTGTCGCCTGTGGCTAAATATCTCAAAGTAATTGCTAGCCGTATTTTTGGAGTTATTGCCTGTCTCATTGAAGTATCTTTTTTGGAAATCATTGGTGAGACTATATTTAAAAGATACTCAAAATCAGCTAGAGACATTCGAGTAAAATTTTCAAATTCACCACCAGGTTCCATTAACAATTCGCTCAACTGTCTGTCCATGTGTTCCCTATACGAAAATAAAAAATCAAATCAAACACAAAACACTTTATAAAATCTAATCAAATTACGTAATAATGTCAGTATATACCTACCTCGTTCTATTTCGATTGATTGATTTCACCCACCATCTTTTTTTCTTCCAAGGCTTCTTGATTTTTGAAGTTGATATAATATGCAAATATTTATAGTAACAATAAGCAGCATAGGCTACAGCTACACAAATTTCCACGTTCTTGGCCATCACTCGCACGAATCTACACAAGGAGCAGGTTCGATGTTTACTGCGAGAGTATACACGGTGCCCTCGGGCCTCGTGCCTCGGGGCGCCTCGCATCGGGGAGTCTCGCATTCGGATGGCTTCGACGAGCGTGTACTGCCAGCATTAGACTACCAAAGTACGGAGTGTTTCGCTACGAATTGATCCCCTTCTTTATTTATAAAAAATAGTGAATACAAAATTTGTGGTGTTCAATACAATGTTTATCAGGCAATGCCTTTTTTAGTCCCCTAGTGCTGTAGTGACGAAGAATTCCGAAAACCACATGTTTTTTTAAAGTACCACTCGGATTTTGCTGAAATTTTCACATAAAATCACTATCATGCCAAGGATGAAAGAGCTTTGTAGTATTTCAAATAGGCCCAGTGACGGTGAAGTTAGGGACAAAAAAAAACAAAAGAAAAACAGTCAGACTACGCTTTTGGATGTTTCCGAGGCTCTTTTTAGGTCCTGTCGACCGGAGTTGCATCGACTCAAAAAGGCGCGCACGTCAGACATGGGCGCCCACAGAAATTGGAGAGTTGATTAGACAATTTTGGAAGAGCGGTGGGTAGCAAAGTTAGCAAAGTCTCTCAGGGGAGTAAAATCTTGAAAATGCCAATTTCAAGAGGCACAAAGGGGTTATAGCCTGGAACTGGAGACTAATTGTATGAGCATATTTAACTGACTTGATCCAATAAATCCCTTTGTTATATATGCTCGTAGATAACTTCCTTCTGAGACGGCTTTAATTATGTCAAACATATTTTTTTGTGAACTGCTTACAGCGTCGTATGGGAAGTGCAGAATCATTCAACGTAACGCCATTTTTTATATAGAGCAAGACGTTATTAAATAAAGTTGCAGTTTCACGATACGAGTGCACTCGGTCCGAGCACACTCGGATGTTATCGTCCGATCAGAGTGAACTCGGACCGTGTCCTACTTTTACGAGCTGACTCGGATCATTGCGGTTATATCAAAATGGCGTCAAATGTAAATGTGCAACCGCTTCGGAAAAAAAGGTGGAGCGAGCGCGATACACTGAAGTTTGTTGAGCTGTATTAAGCAGAAGAGGTATTGTGGAACGTAAGACTTAGTTCTTATTGATCGACCAGCCAAAGATTGCTAGGGACGAAAGGGGGAAATGCGATGAAAAAACCTTACCATTAGACGATTTTATATGGAGTCATAGGCGGAGATCGGAGAGACTTGAATTATTAATTGAATTTATATTTTATTACAACTGGTAGTATTAATATTTTTTTGCGATTCATAATGACGTGATACCAAACATACATTATAAGAAATAAATATACACAAACACTGAATATTGAGAACAAAATAAATATATTTTTTAGGCAACAAGTAATATTCCTATGTACGCATTATGATTGAACAGCAAAACAAATTATGCATTCTTCTAAAATAGAATACAACAAGTCAAAAATATCTGACTGAATAGAAAAATATAGGAAAACAAAAAGTAATTTCTTGATGAAATAACCCATAAACAACACATAGAATTAGACTTTCTACTGAGATACTAAAAGCCACAAACCAATAGTATAATAAATGAATATCTAAAAATTCTAAAAGGTAGCCAATCTAGTATAGTTTCAATCCTGATTAGAGTCATGATCACTGTCTGAGGAACTGTCATTGCTATCACTTTCACCTCCTATGTTGATTATTATTTCTTCCTGTATTTCTTGAATGAGACTGTCTTTTTCCCAATATTCATCTTCAATTTTTATAACATGTCCAATAACCTTTTGCCAGTCACTGGCACTTACTGAAGCGATGGCCTTATTAGAAATTTCATCTAGTTTTTTTATAGTAAATTCGCCGCTTGTATTATGGCTTCTAATGAAAAATTTTACTTGTGCCCAAATCATCTCTATGGGATTAAACTGACACATATAGGGTGGCGTTCGAAGTGGGGTGTGTCCGAAACTTCTTATTAAATTATCTATCTTATAATTTTTCTCATCAGATGGTGGCCTATGTAGACAAGCTATTTCATAAAGCTCCATTTTTTTAGCATTAGGATCATGCTCTATACCTTTTTTGCTCAACCACGTGATGATGTCTCTTTTTAGAGAAGATCTAGTTGGAGGCTTGTCTTCCAAAGCTGAATGGTAAGGTGCATTATCCATTATTATAATACTATTAGGAGGAATGTTAGGAAATAGTTTTTCAGTAAGCCACTTCGTGAAATTTTCTTGGTTCATTTGACCGTGATAATCACCAGTGGCACAGCCAGCCTTGAAAATGAGACAGGCTCCAGGAACAAAACCATCTTGCGAACCCGCATGAACAATTATAAGTCGTCCTGGAAATGAATAAATAGCCTCATTTTAGTGTTATTTTAAGTTTGCCAACACCTTTTTGAATCACTATGTATAAAAAACATATTTTTGAGAAAAAAATACTTGCAAGGGATTATGTATTCAATTAGACAAATTAAATGAGCACTTATTAAGAATATTCCAAAATTGAGAAAAATGTATAATAAGCAAAATCGAGGTGAAAGAAACTTTATTACCTGTAGAACTTATATTGCTCAGGACACCCATAATTTCTTCGCTTTGCCAGCATTTCTTGAAAGTGAGGTCATTATCAACCCAAGTTTCGTCCAAATAAATAATATGCCTTCCTTCTTCCCGGAACTTTTTAATAGACCTAAGATACTTGTATCGCCAATGTAAAATACTGGGTCTTTCCATTAGTAATTTCCTTTTGTTGTGGCATTTACGCCAGTAAAATCCTTTTGCTTTTAAAAGCAGCCTCAACGATTCTTTACCAAATGGAAATTCCATTTCTTCCTTCAGTTTGATTAGAAGTTTACTACAAGTAGGTACCACTTTAAAATCACAGTAAAATTTTTCTATCATTCTCCGAATAATGGAAAAATCGACTCCATCAATTTTTTGGATCACAGAAGGGCGTGATCTCTTTTTTCCGGGAGAAGCTAAAGGCTGTGTGGAGGTTGCATTTTGCCTGTCTTTATCTTCTTTTCTAATTTTACTTATAGTTCGTTCACTAACACCCGTATAATATGCCGCCCTTGCATTTCTAGCTACCAGTGGATAAACGAAAGTATTGTTAGCCGCTTCTGCATCGCAAGCACGTATCACGTTTGCTATTATTTCCCTTGCCTGGCTGTGAATAACTTTCCCATGCTTGAATTCCATTATCACCACTAAACAGTAAATTATATTTTCAAAGTATTTGCCAACTGCCTACGCCTATGGGAGTAGGTTTATAAATGACCGTGCCATCGGCACGTTATTCTAGTTTCAGATAAGATAAGAGTTTTGGACCAATCAGCGACCGGATGTTTACCTGCGGCCTGGGTTTTCCAGCTACATTGCCAAATTCAGCGGAACAATTCTATATCTTAAATATGTTAATATGTATGGACCGCATTTTATGTAGAACATCTGACAACTTCGCAATTTTTTGTCCGCATTCTTTCGGCTTGCAATCTTTCGCTGGTCCAACATTACAAGAATAAAGACGCAAGAAATGCTACTCTGCAGCGCATTATAAATAACTTAAATATAGAAGGCACCACCATCCAGGATATCAATACAAAAATAAATAACATACGTAGCACGTATTCACAAGAAAAGATGAAGATTAAAAAGTCACAAGGAACTGGATCGGGGGCTGACGATATATATACACCATCTGTCCCATGGTTCGAAATAGCCGACAGATTTCTGTCTGAAATTATTAAGCCGAGAAAAACTTTTCAAAATCTGGTAAGTACTACTTGTAACTTCATCCTAGAGAGAGAAATAGAGAGAGAAATGTAGTTTTGATGCCATTTTATTTATTTTAATCCTGCACAAGTTTGTCCTTTTTGATCAAGTGGGTTTTAAATAGACTGACAAGGTCTATGCTTCTTTTTACAACGAGTAGTGGAACTGCTTAAAGAAAAGCTGGTTTTTGATCATATACCTACTATATTCGATGGTATGATTTCCTAGTATTTCTCATTTATGTCCAATCGATGAGTTAACCATAAGTACAATAAAACAACAAGATATACATTCATATTATTGGTTTATTATTTTACAACACAAGTATTACTGCTTGCCTAAAATATCCTGTCATTTTGCCATGAGAGAGCACCTTGTCCAATGAAATAATTTTTATAGTTGCTTCTTTTTTGTTCTGCTAACTGGGAATAATTATTACTGCCCTGATTCTGCATATCTGCAATATAAATAGACCTAAGCTCTTGTCTCCATGCACCAGATCTATCGTCCGTGTCCATAGTGCCGACAGGTGCGTATGATCGCGAAGCTGTTTTGATTAGCCAATTATGCATCGCGCAAGTTGCCTTTACTATTTTGTCTACTTTATCTGGACATACATATATCGGAGT